TATTTTTCTCGACTTCAAAAAAGCCAAAAAAATATAAATAGGTTTGGCTATATATGCTATGTCAATTATATTTATGAAAACTATTGAACTTCCCTTGTAAAGGTTTTAAAATAAAATAAAAAACAAAACCAAGAATTTTAATACAAAAATAGCATATTCTTGAATACGGTAGTTATTTTCACCATGAAGGCAATATAACGAAATTTATTTTTTCATATTAAAGTATATTATATACGTTTTAATTTGATATTTATATAAAAGTGTCAATATTACCGGAACATTTTCAAAAATTGTGTTGATAAAGTTGCAACTTTGAACTCCTACGTATGGGTAAGTAACGGTTCAAAATTTCAAAAAAATGATTTCAAATGAAAGGAAAATAACGAAGGTTTTAATAAAAAAAAAAAAATTATGGCAGTTTTAAGTATTAAAATATTAAACAGTGATTTTTGTATAAAAAATACATTTTTCGTTAAATTTGACGGTCATTTTCCCATAGAAGAAAAGGTGTTAGAACAATTTTTTTTTTAACTTTTTGTATTTATTGTAAGCATTTATTTAACATATATTTAATGCTCGGAGTGTTTTTGGGACATTTCAAAAGTTAAGTTGAAAAAATTCTACATTTACTCGTATTTTAAAATAAGGGTAGACTCCTCTCCTGAGAAAAAATTAGTCATTCTTATTAAAATATTTTACTATATTTTTATTTATTTTTAATATGTTTATTTATGTCATTCATTTTTTAACACGCTTATATTAGTTTCACGTGTATGTTTGTTGTTTGTTTGTTGTTTGTTTGTAAGTTTGTAACTCCACGCGGCACGTGTTATTATGTCGCGTATCCCGTCGTGTATGACCTTGAGACTATACTGTTGTAATGCATTCGTCCCACCCCGCTCCCCACTCGTAGACAACAATATTTTCTAACCCGTAGACGCGCGCGCGTCATCAATTATGTATATATATAACGACTCGTGCCACCTTTATCAGCCGTCGCCCTATTATGAGTATTTGACTGACCAACACCTCGCGTTATACGCCGCTGTGCAAAGTCCAGCAAGCGCCGCACGCCCGACGACATTCCGCCGCAAATGATACCGTAGTCTTCTTCCCGTTGTCAAAGTGACAACGTCTACGATTCGATCCGCACTCGCGCGCCGTCGCTATCAACGCTGCTAACCTGTTGACGTCCGAGGAACACGCCGGACAACGCGTCGTCGATGCCAGCGAAAGTGCCGCGATATTATGCGAAGATTATATATTAATATTTGTACGTATATGCGTATATGTTAATATTCATTTATATATTCCTACAGCCGACGCCTCTGCTGCCGTATATGCCTCGTGTATAATGTTCCCTCCGCCATGCCCGCCCACATAAACACGGCTATATCTCATGCATGATACGTTTACGTACTTAAGTCCCTTTAAATATATATATATTCTAATTACTATTAAAACTTATATATTAATACACTTTATTCTCATTAAGAGATATGTAGTGTATTCATTCCGATTACGGAGGATGATTATTGTATTGTTATTTTTCGTCACTACCTCCACGTTACGCGCCTGCTGCTTTCCTTAGATGTGTAGCCGTTTCTTAGACTCCCTCTCTGGAATCGAACCCTTATTTCCCGTTACCCGTTACAACTATGATATTGATATTAACTACTATCATAACATGAAACTAAAAAGTGAAAAATAAATATAGTTTAAAAAAACTAAAAAACACGCTTTTAAAGCACATTGAACTAAAAAGTTAAAAATAATTTTTAAAATTAACTTAAAACAATAATGAACGAAAAATACTAGTATTATTGTGAAAAAAAGCGTCGGGCGCTCAATATACAAAAAATATGGCACAAAGCACCCACGCTTTTTTTCACAATAATACTAGTATTTTTCGTTCATTATTGTTTTAAGTTAATTTTAAAAATTATTTTTAACTTTTTAGTTCAATGTGCTTTAAAAGCGTGTTTTTTAGTTTTTTTAAACTATATTTATTTCAGCTCTCACTTGATCAATTTTAATGACCATGACTACGAGAACACGATTATAATCTTACCAAATTGACAGACAAATATTTCAAAATTATATACTGTAAAAAATGGATAGTTCGAAAACATTTTTTTTAACTAAATATATTCAAATTAATTGGAGTATAAAATTCGTTTTCATACTGCATTACACAGTAAAATCATATGATTAAAATTAAAAATTTTTTAATGATTATACAGATATACAGGGTTTGAATTTTTAATATAACTTTATTCGTCTATTAGATATAAACATTTAAAGTTTCAAATTTTTGAGTTAATATTCAAAAACTCAAAAATTGGAGGACAGCTGATGTGAGCGTAGATGATGTGGCAGATCGTGTCAAGTGGAAGTTTAGGATAAGGTTGGCCGACCCCAAGTAGTTGGGATTAAGGCGAGGAAGAAGAAGATGAAGAAATTTGTTGGTGTACAAGGGATTTTCATTAGAGACTAAAATATACTTTTGAAATTTTTAAGATTATTACCAATTAGAAAACGAGTATTTACAAATGAAAGAATTAATTTAAAACAAAAATATTTTTCTTTTCACAAAGTTATAACAATTTTAAGACAAAAATATCAAGTTTTTTCACAACGTTAACCATTTGCACATAGAAAGTAAGTCGTCGAGAAAAATATTTTTCTCTAACTTATAACATAATCTTTCACTTAACATATTTTTGAAGTCGCAGCATTTAGGGAACATTTTTGATAGTTAAGTTAAAAAATAAATATGCAAACAGTAAGTGTGTCTGATGGGGATTGTGAACTCCTGATTCTTACGATTTTAGCACATGTAATCCGGTAATTATACAATGTACCTCTAGAATGATATAATAAGCAATTGGATAGTTCAAATTTTCGTCATTGTTTTTGAATTAGGAGAGATGCACTACAAAAACAAACTTAATTTTATATTCAATGTATACTACGTTTATAAAAAATTTATGAAAATTTTAATAAAAATAGGTACACATTTTTAAATTAAAAAGAAGTTTTCAAAATGTCAAATAATATATTGTTATTAATATATTACTTTTATTTTGAAAGTATTTAAGTGAGTTGGGGTAGGCAAATCACCTGTAATATAAAAACTACATAACAAAATTATTTAAATGTATTTTCATTTTCATAAAAAGTTTAACTTAGAACAAGATAAAATGATTAAGTAATATTCTAATGTAAATTTAATATTATAGGTGATTTGTCTATTCCAACCCATTCACACAAAATATAAAAGTAATGTCAAAAATATTTTTTTGGCTATTTTAGTTTTAAGTACGTTTTCGGATTATCTATCAAACTTAACCGTTCTTATAGAACTTTAAATTTTATAAAAATTTTTTTGAAAAAAAAAAAAAAGAATCTCCACTATTATTATTCTCATAATTATGACATTGTTACCAATATAGTTAATTTTATGAAAAATTCAAAAATATAATTAATTTTCTATTACATAGCAAGCAAATAACTGTCAAAAACGTATTTTTGATAAGAAATATATGTATAGCTGTAAATTTTGTAAAAAGTTCAATTTTATTTATATTAGACTTTTTAAAGTGTAATTTTTTGTTAGTTAAAAAATATTCATTAGTATAAAATAGTTTTTAATAATTATGTACGTTTAAAATAATTTTAATGTGGGCATAAGTGGGTAAGATATGCTTCTCCTGAGCGTTCTGCTAGCCTCAATATACTTCGGCTGCGGGCAAGTAAGTGTGCCGGCTTTACCTCAGCAATTACCATAATCGCCTCTGTCCACACCGTCCTATACGCCTTGGCTACTCTAAACGCGATGGAACGCTGTGGGCTCAGTAAAAGTTGCCTATGGTTTGTGTACACCAAAGAGGGGCCGCATAGAGCAGCTGACTGTTGACTACTGAAGCTAAAAGCCTTCTCTCCTGTCTGGACTAGGGCCCCCCTATGTTCGGCATCAACCTAGCCGATGCAGAAGAGGCGACTAGTGCTTTCGTTCTCATTCTTGTAATGTGCTCCTTGTATCCCAGATTCTCATTAAGCACCACTCCCAGGTGCGCAATCTGTATCTTTATTGTTATTGGGTGTCCTTGTATTATGAAGTTTGGTTTAATGTATCCCCGTTTACTTGTAAGCATAATCGACTCTGTTTTGCCGCACGACAACCGCAACCCGTTACTCGCCATCCATCTACTCAAGCGCAGCAGCACAAAGTCAAATCAAATAAATCTCACGCATACCATGTAATGTGATTATGTACAAGGTACGAACTAGTCAGCAATAATTAATTAAAGTATAAAAATTAATATAAATATTTGATCTATTGCTTTATCGTTCTGTATTCGGATTATTAATTCTAAATAATTGAGTTATAAGATAATATAAGTATTGACTCATATTGATTTGACATCTTACCTGATGATTTTTCTCTGTTCTTATTATAACTTTTAATAGTATCGGGCAATAACAAAATGACACGAATTCAAATGTTAAGTTCATAAATAACACGTGAGAATTTTGGATAATGATGATTACGAACTTTGCGTATCAATGTCGAGAGCGCGATAAGAATAGTCCCTCGAATATCTGGAGACAGACTCTCTCAAGCCTTCAGAACTGACTGAGGAGGATTAATCTGCCTTTTATAGTATTTTGTATACCCGAACAATCATCATTGTGTCATTCTTGTAATGTTATGGTTTATTGATAAGTAACCATAAAATATAGAAATTAATATATAAATAGCATCAAATATATAAACTAATACATTCGAATAATATACAAATCACTCTGATGTTTTCTATGACGTTAGTATAGTTTGTTTATATATACATATATAAGTTTAGGGTTTTACACATTGTGTTTTATTATTAAGATAAGAGGTAAAAGTATAATTTATACATTTTTTAAAGAGTTGAATACGACTCATGACTGAATCGTATGTAATATAATATAATTAAATGCAGTATGCGTTTGTTAAATATTTCTCAAAGTTATTTATTTAATAGCAATCATGTTATTTTAAGCATACGAATATAATTTATAAATAAGTGTTAACAATCTTAAATGAAAAACAATTATTGTGGACACGAGTAGCCCACTGTTATTTTATGTTATAATAGTGACGAGTATATGACAACAGCTTTAAATATTTAAAACATTTTAAACAATGAGTAAATTTTTTATTGTATAATGCTTAAATGACAAATTAAACATAAAATTAAAAATTACTTTCCGCTATTTTTCTTGACAATATTTGCAACACTTATAATGTTTTTTCGTGTATTTAAAGCAATCCTTGCAATATATTTGTGGACAAAGAGAAGAAAAATTATATTTTCCAATATTTTTATGACACATTGTACATTTTCTTACGGGTTTGAAAGGAATTCCTAAAGTGTAATAATATTAAAACTGTGAAACAAATTATTCATTTAATCATACTAAAATGTATGAAAAATAGTATTTATATTTCTAAGGAAAGTCTATATTTAGTCACCACCACGCTTATTCATGAGACGCGAGAATACGTAAACCAATATGAGCTGCACCCATCCTCACTTGATGTATAGAGTGGGTGTGAGGTACACACAGTCTATTCATCAAAATACTTGTAACTCTATGACTATTGGCCTTAAAATTGTTATTGACCCATCAAAATATTTTGTAAGAAAAGGGCTAAAAATTGTCTATTTTAAAATTTGAATAAATAAAATATAAAATGTTTCATATTTATTTTTATTAGTGATTAATAATAATAAATATACTTTAAATTTGTTTGCCTAAGAAAACAATAATTATTTTTAAAATATATTTCAACTATTTTATCATTTTATCATTATTAATCATTATCAGGTAGGCCTGAGTCATTCTGTATATTTGACTTACATAATTTAGTAAGAAATTGATATTAAACATATTCATTAGTAAAGTAATTTATAATGATATTGCGGTGATCACGCATACTAAATATACAAAGGATTGTTTAACAATAATTCACATAATATCTTTAAAAATATAAAACTTAATACATTTTTTTCTTTCAAGAACTAGTATAGTAGGTTCTATAACTTTCAAAAAATACTAAACTCTATTTAACTTTAGTTTAGAACATATAATGTTCTATTAAAAAACCTTAATTATGCATATTATGCATTTGTTATTATTAATTGTGTATATTATGACAAAAATATGAATTTATCAAAAACCATGTCTACAAAGAAAAGCTGACAATAAGAATAAAATCAAATAATATAACAAACATTAACGACACATATTGGAACACATCGGTTAATGTTAAATGGAAATTAACGAAAAACACCAAAGCGGTTTGGACACTCTCTTAACGTTGGTTAGAAGAAAGAGGAAACACGTGCTCTTCACACATATTTAAAATCAAGTTAATTTATAATAAAATACAGCTCATTAAATAAATATAGTTATAGAAAAGAAAACGGTCTCCATCTGATGATCTGGATACTTTGCCGATAAGACCTGGGCGTTCGCCGTTACCAGATTAACTCCATCATTGAAAAGAATAATAGTGACAAGAAAATAAGAAAAGTGTGCATTTTAGCACGGTAAATGATAGAAGGGCAGATGTAGAGCCAACACTGATCTAATAGTAATTTCAAATCGATAACGGCCAATTTTTTTGTGAGGGACCAATACCGATAAACGATTCTATTTTAATTATATTGATTCTCTCTTGTCGGGTTATCTAGAAGTTAGCGTCGATAATAATGAGTTGTTGACACCGCTGTGTCAGTAAAAGGATCATTCGCGCATTCTTTTACGCGATAAAAGAAATAAGTAGACACAACAAAAAATTATACACGATCCACCTTCGAATTTGTGACGATATAATTTGCAAATAGAACAAAAACAGTACTATGTTATACTTTTAAAGATATTGCGTGCGGCATAGTTAATCTAAAACAGGTTATGTACCTTTTATATTTTATCAAATTTATTTTCGTATTTGAAAATATTAAACAATCTTCTTTATTTGTTTATTGTTCAAATGGAAGCGCAAATGGTGAATAGGGAATCAATACTCATAAATTTAAAAAAAACATTTCTGTGTGAGAAATAAATTTACGATATATTATTACTATTTTGCACATAATATTATCATATAATGGTAATCTATTAGACTAATTTGCCTAATCAATTGCCTATGATCCTTAAATTACCAATTATTGCGTTCTAAAAAAGTAAATATGTATAAAGTACCTCTCACTAAGTATTCTCCGCACAAACATCTAGTTTTCATTTGATAATTTATACATACATTACATAAACTTTTACCACAACATTTCATTACTACCGAATTCCCTATAATGATACCTTCTGGATTTTTACATATATGGCAGACGACATTTTCTTAAAAAAAAAAAAAAAAAAAATTAGAATAATATTGTTATTTATTATATTTCAAAATCATATTTTTTTAAACTCAAATATTTATGATATGCAAAATTTTTAGAGCATTATATATTTCAAAACTCTAAATAAATTAAAATATATTAATAACTCTTGTTAGTGCGAGGATGACTCCAAAAAAAACTGATACTTCATAGTTGATGTGTTTTATTATTAATTCATGGGCTACTGCTCTATATAAATTTGTGTTTGCTACTTTATTAGATCAATTAACACTAACTAACCTGTATACCAAAATTTTGTTTTAAAATTGGTTCACCGATAAGAAATTGAACCCCAGTATATTTAGTGTTAAATGGGAATACATATGAATATTAATAATTTTCCTTCCTTAATCGTGCACTGTTCACATAAGTGGTCATAGGAGTTGGGGATCAACTCTCAAAAATAAAACAAAATAATTCTTGATGAAAAAATGTACAATATTATATTTAGGATTGCAAAACGTTATAAACTTATGCTAATCTATGTTGTAAACATTAGCCTAAAATGTTATTATGATCATACGACGGCTATTAACTCAAAAAATGTTATTTTTAATAATGGTATGATGTAAAATATTAATATTGTTGTATTAATTTTAAAGCAAAAGATGCCATTATCAAATAACATAATCAAAGTTATCCCCTCTGACATTATTATATTAAAATTTATATTGTGTTTTAAAAATAAAACATTTATTGCACCTTTGACATATATTAGTATATTAGAATAGATGTCTCATCTATTTAAATATGCTGTTATTCAGCACATAACAAAGATTTAAAAAAAAAATGTAAAGATTTGCAACATAACATAAAATATAACATTTTTGACAGTATTTTAAAGTAAAACAAAAAAACGTTTGTTTTGTTTTATTTTAAGAAACATATTTTTTTTTTGCAACCTTGATCACATTTTTATTTGCATATAATACTTCCATAATATGGCAATCTATTAGGCTCTTTTAAATCAATTATTCATGGTACTGAAATTAATTAATCCTCCTTTGTAAATATGATAGATATAAACATGACAATTATTGCATCCTAAAAAAGTAAATTAAGTATAAAGTACCTTCCAAAAAGCTTCTTCCGCACAAACAGTTATTTCTCGATGGATGTCCAATACAAAACCTACACAAATTGACACCACAACATTTCATTTTTACCAAATCCAAATCCGTTTTAATTCTTTTATATTTACAGTTAGAACAGACCATAGTTTCTTAAATACAAAATTATTAGAAAAATATTGTTATAATTAAATAGATTTTAAAATAATATATTTTTTATATCAAATACTTATAGTGTGTAAAACTTTTAATCCCGTTTACATTTTAGAACGCTAAATATATTTATAAACTATATCAATAACTATTGTTGATGCTGGATAGAGTCTAAACAAACTCGAAGTGGCACGCGGTGATCTGAAACTCATATTTTGCTAGCCAAAATTATAATTTCAAATTAATTATTTTTTTAAATTTTTTTGTCAAATTCCTATTAATATACAGAGTGATTTTTTTATCATAACCCACTCAATTGCTTACAGAATAAATATATTTAAACATTTTTTATTTTAGTTATATTTAGTTACACATTATTCTTGAATTATTAACTATGTAATACTTTTTAAGTTCATCCCTTATGCCTGGTAAGGTTGTCAACTTTGTTTTTTTAAATGGTAACATATATTTTTTATTTAATAAAATGTTTGAGTTTTTAATTCAATAGTAAATGGCATGTACCTGCGAATATTGATGTATGTAAATCTGTATTTGTAATACCTTGTGTATTATGCATAAATATTAATTAAAAAATTTGGAACTTTAAATGTTTATATCTAAACAAACGAATAAAGTTATATTAAAAATTCAAATGCCATTTACTATAAAATTGAAAACTCAAATATTTTATTAAATTAAAAATATGTGTGTGTCCATTTAAAAATCAAAGTTGACGCCCTTACAAGGCATAAGGGATGAACTTAAAACTTATTACATAGTTAATAATTCAAGAACAATGTGTAACTAAAGATAACTAAAAAAAAAAAATGTTTAAATATATTTATTCTGTAAGTAATTAAGTGAGTTATGATAAAAAATCCCTGTATATTATTAAAGCAAATTACAAAATTTAAACTCCTTAAGTCAATTTTTACTAAGCGTAGGGCTATTTAAATAACGTACTCCTAATTTCTGTGATAATTGTTTTATTCATTTTTTAAGTTCTTTAATGAAATCAAACTTATTTTATAAATATATATTTATATAAATGTAGTAATTTTAAGAATCGTAAACAAAAATTTGATTTCTTTTTATATAAAATAGTTTTTAATTAAAAAGAGTTTTTTAGATTTCATTACATTTAAAACAGCCTTACAAAAAGTACACAACCACATGATATTTTAAATACAACTATAATAAAGTCTTAGTCTTATAGTACGAAAAAAACAGTATTTTTTAAAATAGTTGATTTTCTGTGTCAATAATTTTCTCACTACTGCCCTCATAATTACTACATAAATTTGTGTTGACTATTTTATAAGATCGATTAACCCTATACTATACTATATACCAAACCTTTGTTATAAATTTGACTCACTAGTGAGAAATTGAATCTCTGTATATTCATGTACAAGTGTGGCTACTTACTAATATACTACCGATTTCGTCACAAAATTATGTAACTTCAATCATATAGAAAAATGTTCGAAGTAAATAAGTGTAAAATAAACATCAATTGCTTAGTATATTTAAAGATGTAAATGTTTTATTAATTATATAAGTTAATGGAAGAACATTTGGTTCATTTGTACAGAATACCTTTACTCATAAAGGGATCTCTTCGACAAATATTAGTTGTATACCATTTAACTTTATTTAAAGAAATAAAATTTCTTTTTGATTATTAAATTTTTGTGAAGAGCAATAAGATAATACATTTAATTTATTTAATAATCTCATTATATAATAAGACAATGAATCAAAACTGTTTGCTGGGAAAATTACTTTACTTTTTCCAATTAAAAAAAATGTTTTTTAACGAAGTACTCAGTATTTGATTCTAGAAAAATTATTAATGAGGGTCAGAAAATTTTGCCGATCACTATGAGCGTTTTTAAATTTTGACCGCTTTCGAGAAAAACGATACCTGATAACGGCATTTTGAGACATAAGGTCTGAAATTTTTAACACAGAAAGTTGTGAGAACCCTGTTTAACTATAACCACAGATAAGGTTCATCTTATCTGTGCTATAACTATTGTACTATGGTACATAGTATAATTGTTATTGTAAGTCAAGTGTAAATGTTATATTTAGCTTTAATGTATAATTGCAAAATAAAGAAAAAATTATTTATCGCATCATTTTTGAGGCTTTGAAATATTTGAAAACAAATTTAAATTCAAATACTATAATGATAGGTAATGAAAAAAATTATTTAATTCCTATTCTACAATTTTTGATACAGTAATTAAAAGTTTATTTTTCATATGACTCCACAGAGTGTTTCGTAGGAAATCTAAAAGTTCAATCTAAATCTAAATCTACAAAAAAAAAAATAATATATGGGGGAAATTTGATAGAAGAGAAAAAAGGAAATTGCCATAGTTTTCAGTGAATATGTGGAATTGATTTTTAAAAGTAACCCATAATTTAATAACCTCAAAAAACTCATTTAATGGATGGCATAATTGTTTTACGTCATTGATAAGTAGTAATTATCCGTCTATATGAAATTTTATTAAAGTTTTGAAAAAAAAGAAAGCGTAACTTGATTGAATATCGAGCAATATATTGCTGGCAATTAACTATTTAAAAAATATATATAATGATAATAGAGAAGAAAAAATTTTAAAAAAGTTTGTACAAATTATTTCAAAAACATTAATGTAAAAGAATAACTTCATTTAATTGTTTATAATTATCATTACAAGTTAATAATACATTTTAATTCTATATGTAAATTAATAATTATTTTTAACATTTTATAATAAATAAGTTTGAGAGATAAAATGTTTACGATCAATTGATGTGTAACCCTAAAATTTCTTACCATTATTCACAGAAGACAGTAGCCAGAAATAGTAATATAGAAAACTCTAAAACTGTTTTTGTAATTTTATTTTTTTTCTTGGGAACTTTTAATTATTATTATTATTTATTCCCAAGTGTAATACTATTTTTGTCAATTATGTATGCTTTATTTATTATATAAATTAATTTCTCTTGGCTATATATTTTTATACTATTATTAATATTAAAATTTATATTTATATTATAAATTAATATCTAAATAATATTATTATATATTAATTTATTAATTTAATTTATATATTAATTTAAATAATATAATATTTATACTATTATTAATATTAATCTTAAATTAGACATGTATTAATTTTTAATATATATTAAATATTATATATTCAATATGTTATATTGATTTTTAAATATTTGTTAGTTACTATAATTAAAATGTTGTTAGGTTTCATGAATTTCTATTTATTATTGAAATATATTATCTGTCATTAGAAACTATTGTATTTTTTTGAATAAAACATAAATTATAAGAAGAAATATTGAAATAATTTTTCTGCGTCCCTTGATTAACAATGGTCATTATGTTTTTGCTTTTAATTAACTATTAATTTCGAGTAAAGATTGGAATAATTAATTTTTAGGAATCTATCTATTTTTAATTGCACTGGATACAAAAATTGGAAAATTCAAGGTCTGTATAGATTTTATTTTCTCTACTAAAAAGTGTCAATGTGTTCAGTGATTGAAATTAAAAAACAGCATAAGACTGTTTAATATTTGACTTGAAATTACTGGTTATTCTTATGTTACTTCAATAACAAATTTATATATGAAGTAAATTATCAACTTACTGTCATAATCTGAAAAAATACGATAAATTATTTAATTTAGATATCACATATTAAACATAAATACACATTTTATTACTAGTCGTACATCAACAACATAAAAACAAAATAATTTCTAATTTTTTCAAGATATTACTGAAATACTTTTATGTATATTTATTTTTATTTACATATCTAGCTAAATTACCGAGTCCTACACCCAAAGATAAAACCTCAATCAAAATTGAAAGAAATTTTATCAAGGGTTTATGATAATGTTTTATTAATACGAACAAAATAACTATTCTTATAAATAATTATTGTTCAAGACAAGAAAAAAAATATCATATTGATAAATATATCATTGATTCAATGGTAATGATATATTTATCAAATTGAACAATGAATTTATTATATAGATCGAGGTTTTTCTCTGGGTGTACAGAAACTGCTATCTTTGAATATATATTTTAATATTTTTTAATTATTATAATTTACGTGATATAGCTGTAAGACATAATAGTTTTTTTATTTTTAATGATTTATATAATTAAACCTATGCATTTATTTGTATGTGTGTAATAAAAATTGTCAATTTTTTATGATAATTACTATTTATATACCTCTTTCTTTCGACATACTTCTTTTTAATTAAGACTATTTCCCTTTTTACAGGGTTGGTTTAAAACTTAAAAATGCGTCTAGAAAGTAGAATTTTTTCAACTTATTTTTAATTAAAATATATTTATAGTTTATTCATACGCAGCCTATCAATTAAACATAAATATTTGTCATATTAATTAGATGGATTTTGTTATTATTTAGGCTATATGTGAAACTCTAATTGCAGATTTGAAATTGGCACAAAAATGAGTTTGGAAAAGTATATTTTGGTCTCGGATGAAAATTCATTGTAGACCAGTAAATTTATTTATAAATAACAACATTTTTTTTTTAAGCATCAAGACCTTCAATTTTATATATGTTTGCCATTAAAGTATTAACTAATTTATAATTTTTTATAATTTCTCCGTAAAAATTACAATACTAAATTATTAAAAATCAATTTCATAGTATATTTAATTTGTATAATTAATATTTATACATATTTTACACTTATACATCATAAAACTTGTAATCAGAATATAAATAAGAAATTAGGAGATCATATTGCCTTTGAAATAATCCACCAAATTTTTAAAAGTAAACACTATCTACAGATTTACAACGAAGCGTTTTATATGATAGTGAATTTAATCATTGTCAGATTAAATCTTTTAAATGTCTTTTTATTATAAACTTTAATGTTCGTTTTCACCATGAAAACAAAATGAAGTCCGAAATTTTTTTTTTTTATATCAAAGTATATTACATAGTCTTTAATTTAAGATATATATATATATATATATTAAAGTGTTAGTATTTCAGAAACACCTTCAAAAATTAAGTTAAAAAAGTTCTACTAGTTTTGAACCCCCTCTGTATATAATTAAATAGTTCGATATAAAAAAAAAATGTATGTCGAATGAATGATGTATATAAATACTACTTCTCATGAAAAAACTGTATTGATTTTTACATTATTGAAGAAATTATGGAAAGATAATGTTAAAAATGTAAAATATAAAATCGAGAATTTTAACAAAAAAATATCATTACTGTATGTATATTATGTATGTATTTTTAATTACGCATGAAACAATTCAGAATTTCTTATCACACATTATGAGTCTTGAAAATCCCCAAAAATGGTCATGAGTGATACATTATATATTCTACATACAAATAAATTCAGAACAGTCAAAATTTAAATTCATAATCTAATTTTTCATAACTTTTTTTTAGCTAATAATTAATTTTTCAGAGAAAGAATATCTAATTTTTGTCGGCTACTGAAAAATCACCTACTAAAAGTACGATTGATTCGTTCTGCCGCCCTCAGATATAATGTATGCTGTCGATTCATATTCGGGACAAGTACGTTTTCTAATGACATAAAAAAACCCACGCAAATTCCTGACAGATTTCCGATCAATAGATATTATCATAATATTTGCATTATTATATTGGTGTAAAAATAATCACAGTAAATTCAAATTTAAGTCCCATTACTCGTTATTTACAAATATGTTTTTACAAATTCAGATAAGCAGCTTCCCTGGTGCGTCGTTGACAAAGTAAAAATAATTGGTTATGATCGTAGGCGGGGGACCAGTTGAAGGGTAAGGGTATCGATTACCACATCTCAAAAGGAAAACGTTAAAAATGCTACTAAGAACCGACACATGTCGATAGACAAAATTTCATTTTTTTGCATAAACATTGTTTTGCGCGAGACAACTTTTATATAGGCATGTTTACTATTGAATATAAAATACTAGAAATGATATTAAAGAAAAAATAAAAAACTTAACAACAAATAATTTACTCCTTTATAATTTGGTAAAAATTAATTGGTAATAATTTGGAACTCTAGTATCAATAAACTTGTCCCGTGCAAAACATATTTAAAATTGTTTTGCTTTCTGTTTGGCGTCTTCTTATGTAGGATTTTTGAAAAATTATAAAAAATGAATAAAAAATTGTGATATGATTTTTATATCCCTACATTACTTTGGTTCATGATTAAATTTTCAAAAAAATTTGTCGATAAGCTTAATGTTAAGAACTATTTATAAAAAATTGTCAACAATCCGTTTAGTATACAAATATTTATATTAATATACAGGGTGATCGAAATCTGGTAAGACAATCATTTTCTCAGAAAATATTGAGAATTTTAAATTTCATTATTATGAAACGTAATATATGACAGTATTTTTTCTGGAAGTCAAAATCTTTAAACAATTATAAAACGTAAACGGTTGTTCGGATAAAAAAAATTATAAGAAAAAATTGTTTGTAATTTTTTTTATATTATATTATCAAATCAAAAATAGTGGTTCCTATTTAAAAAAATTAAAATATACATTTTTATCCCTGAAGGGATAAAAAAAAATTCATTTAACTTCATATTATTGTAGAGTTTTATAAACTTAATAATTTTTCTTTATACAAAAATTTTAAATTCTCAATAGTTTCTGAGAAAATAAGTGTCTTACCAGATTTCGATCACTCTGTAGATTGAAAATTAAAAATATCAACATAGACTGTTTAATGAAAACTATATATTTTAGGTAATTTCCCTTATTTATAGAAATTATGGCGAATTTTGTGATATTTGGGCATATTATTTATCAAAATCATTCTATAGAAGCAATTATGAATAAAGCTAATATGCATCAAAACTAAAATAATTATAGTAATGTAAAAACTAAATTTGAATAAAATAATCACCTGGTATCAAATCTGCTCTACACGTAGGACATGCAACACATTTAGTTAACCGATAATCCAAACATTTCTGATGAAACTGACTTTTGCAACACTTTACATTAGTGACATCATCATTTAAAAATTTTCGACATATTTGACATACTAAAAATAAAAATTTTACACTTTATTAATCATATGTTTTTGTTTTAGCTTCGATGCGAAGCTAAGAAGGTTTTCATTTTACTATGATGTGTTTTGTTTTTTTTTTGTGTCTGTTACCACTCTTTCTCAGCTTTCACCGAAACGAACCTTTCAATGATACGTCAAAAGATCACAAATTGTATCTAATCGAAGACATTACCTTCGAAAATTGAAAAAATTTCCCTCGTTCCTCGTAAATGGGGGGAACCTCCAAAAAAATTACAAATTTAAAAATCGCTAATTTTCGAAATTTTTTCAACTTTTTTTACTTAAAATTGCCATAACTTTTTTAAAAATAACCAAATCAATATAATTTTTTTTTACATAGATACATGATATTATTACCTTTTATTTGGTATATTTTTTTTGTATATCTGACTCTTTACCTGCCCATAGGGGGGGATTTAAAATGATAACTTTTTGAAGCCTTTTTTTGGATAGTGATTTTAATCACTGTCAGATATCATTATACTTGTTCCAACTATGTCACGTCACCACTGTGCCGAGCCCCCCCCCCTCGTGCTGGGTTCTTATTATTTTTATCAAAATTGTTAAAACATGTTTTTAAAATATTGATTTCTATAACTTTTTTTTTCAATCGATGATTTAATGTTTTTTTTTTTTAATAATATTTTAACGTTTTAAACTCACCAAAAAATATAAACATAATAACATTTTTATAAATTATACTTTAACTTTAATTTAAAAATAAAGAATATTTTATTTAATATTCTAAGTTAGCGAAAATTTCTTAATTTAGGTGTTCTATCAACTGTTTCAGAAATATAAAATCAGAAAAGTAAAAAAGAGAGATTATAATAGTTATATGTGAAATAATCTGAAGCATTGACCAAGCTGGGTTTCATTATTATCATATATCGATAGTTACATGTTTTAAATGTACTTTTCATAATATCTCCAAAATCGTGATTTACTTAAATCTTAATTACATTTATGATAAATCAATTTATTTTGACCAGAAAAAAGATTTATTCGAAAACGTGAATTTCTTGGAATTATTGACAGACATTAAAGGAAAAATCATAAATTTCCGTACAAAATTGACTTTACCATTATTTTACCATTGTAATTTTTTAGTTTTGATATAAAGCTAAGAAAATGTATTTTTTTTATGATGTTCATGAAAATTTTTCCTTTTTACTGGATAATTTTAGTGATTAATACATAAAAAAACGCGACATTGATCTAATTGAACTTATGGGCGCCGAAAATTTAAAAAACCTTTTTCAATCTGAGAAACTAAAAAAAATATCTCAAAATTACATTACTAAAAATAATTTTTCTGCACTTTTATACTAATATAATTGTGACTTAATACTTATGAACGAAATACTTAGAAGATATAGAGATTATTTCGTCCAAGTTAATTTATTCAAATAGTTTAGAGAATTATTTAGACCATTTAGGCATAGTTCTAGAACAATACGTGCTGACACGTTGGACAAAAAAGTGTAAAATTTGGTTCTCTGAAATTTCATTTTTGGGGGTTTTGTACACATTAAGAGCATAGACAAACAACCCGAAAATCTTAAGTCTATATGCGTGCTATCGGTTCCACAAGACGTAAAATGTATTGATATGATAATCGGTGGTCATCATGCATTTTTCCGCACTACCAAAGTTTACATTTTATAGAAAGTTAAATAATGAAATTTTTTGCATATTTTGGGCTTTTGATCATTGTTGAGTACAGATGTGAATGTTACAGAAATTTTAGTTAATTTGGCAACATTATCGTTCTGGTGACTAGCAAGGCACCCTCCATTTTGACGCCTCCTTGTTAACTCAATTTATTCTCAGCCATTTAACAATACACGTTTTTTTACCTTTGTCATTTTTTTACATATAGTGCGCCGTCATATTATGGAACTATTTACTCTTCTGCAAATGTTTGACATGTATGTAACTTTCTCGTTCTGTGTTTTTTACACACCTTTTTCTGACACATTTTGGTTCTCGTCGTCTTGCCATTTATCGTCGTCATCAGCTTTGCCATTAAGTTTTGCACGACCGTTCATCCAACGTACAATTCATTAATTTATCCTATACTTTAATCGGCTTCAAATCCAAGCCCCAATAATAAGTATTTACGTATACTTATAATTGTTTGTTTAATTTTACATAATTCCTATTAATCCTTCACCTTATCAAGGTGTATATAACAATATTTGATTCGATTAGTAAACCAATGATCGATAGATTATAAAATTATTATGTATAATATATTGTGACATAGCAGATACCAATAAGCGGTGCCTGTACTTTATTAGAACAAAAAATTGATAATGAGTTACTTATGTTTGCTTGTCGTCATCATGTTTATAAACTGATACTAAAAATCATTTTTGCATTAAAAATAAGTCAGTTTATTGCTAGCTTCAAAACTTTACATTGATTCCACTATTCAATAATTCCAGAGAAAATTGTAAAAATCTCAACATTACTGGGAGAAAATTCTATAGAGAATTCATAGAAACAACAAATTTTAGCACATCAAAAATTGAAGCGCTACTTAAATTTTTCTATGCTGAATTAACAGAACAATTTGTCAGGGGTGACGATCGAGAGTTTATAGAACTTTCAGCTATATATTTAGGTGGAGATTCAGAAAAAAAATATTAAGATTAGGCCTTCAGAAACAATTCACCAAGCTAGATGAATGACAAAAACGATATATTCCATGAAAATATCACTACTTTGTTTTTAATTTAAAATTACTAATATGGATAAAACCACACTATTAAATATTTGCTTATTAATTATCACTACTTCTCTAAAGAGTCGGTTTAAATGCATTTTAACATTAAAATCTCCACACCAATATTTGTGCTTTCTTGAAGTCATTAAAAGTTTGTGAAACCATTAACAAAAGCATTTCGAAAGTAGCCCTACAGAATTTGTGATCTACTTATCAGTATAATGAGGTTAGATAAGGAATTGCAAGTGGGCTTTTATTGGCCTGCAAAACAACGTGGTTTACCGCTTGCATAACGACTAGAAATGGTTAAAAGGGTCACCACCACCACCCAGGCGAGGTATCACATCTATTATACATGATTACCGGTGGAATTTAATTTTAAGTTAAGTAGTAGTTTAATTTAAGTTAATTTGTCGTTATATATAAATGTTCATAACACCTCGTGTTTCATTCACCACGACTATGATAATAATTATCAATAATTGTAGTTGTAAGTGGTTGATATGTAAAACACACCGTAGTCTGTGCTAGATTAAGGAATAAGGATAAAATACACGCTAGTATTTAAGCTACTCGTACAATAAAATTAAATATTATAGTCATGAATAATAAGCAAATTTATCTTAATTGTTAAAATGAAAATATTAAGTTAAATGTGGACAAAAATACGAATATATCAAAAACCATGTCTAAAAAGAAAGTCTGACAACAAAAATAAAATAAAATACTTAAAAAAAATCAATTAATTTAACAATCATCACGTTCAGTCTTTTTGTGTGGGATCAATATCCATAAACAATTCGATTCTAATTGTAATTATACTACCTTATATAGCTTTCAGCGGTAGAAATAATGAGTATTTGATACCACCGTGTTAGAAAAATTTGCGTATTTTCATATGCGATAAAAAAAATAAGTAGAATTACGGTCAATTCATGACAAATCATCCGAAAGTGGTTGCACGACCATCTAATATTTTTCTTAAATTTTCAGGATTTATTTTTTATGCTATATTTAGATTAAAACAATTTTTTTTATGGCTATTTCAATGTAAAAAAAGTTACAAATAGCCAGAATATTAATAAACACATAGATTATTCAATATTTATCCCTGTGGATAGGGGATAAGAATACTTTCCACGATCTCTCTGCTAGTCGTAAGAGGCGACTAATAAGGTTACGTCAGGTCGACAGCCGGAGTAAAATTTTTGTCAAATAGTATGAGATATCCTGAACAAAACATAGGCGAATTGTCCCATCTCGGATGTATGTGGGAAAAACAGGTGAGAGGGAATAAAGTAGTTTTAAACGAAGAGAGCCTAAGGATTAAAGTGTTTGATACCAGCCGGACAACTTGTGCGGTAGCTGTTTCACCAGTTTGGTAGACCACAGGTCTACCCAACGCTTCTAGTGTCAACGGTGTAGGGACATTATCACTTAACTCTAGGCTGGAATAGTAAAAGAGAGAAAAATAGATACAAAGTAAGTAAAGTACATAGATACTTGGAATGTTGGAACATTAACTGATAAAAGTGTAAAATTAGTAAAAGTATTGAAGAGGAGAAAAGTTAACATTTGTTGTGTGAAGGAAACTAAGTGGAAAGGAAAGAAATCGAAAGAAATAGGTGAGGGCTATAAAATAATATACTCAGGTAAGTCTAGTACAAAGAATGGCATAGGGATCATAATGGATGAGAAGATGAATTTGGGAAAAGGTAATAAATAAGAGAATAAGATTTGAGAAATCGGTATCTAAAAATCAAGTTGGATTTATAAATGGTAAGTCATCAATGGAGCCAGTATTTTGTGTGAGGCAACTAATAGAAAAGTTTTAGGATAAGAAGAAAATGCTGTGTATGGTATTTATAGATTAGGAGAAAGCGTATGATAGAGTATCGAGAGAGATTTTAATGTGGGTATTATTGAGAAAAGGAGTCCCGAAAAGTTACATTGTTATAATATTAGATATGTATGATTACCCTTGTACCCGGGTAATAAGTGTCGGAGGAGTAACAGAAGGTTTCTGTTAAGTGTAGAAGTGCACCAAGGTTCAGCTTTAAGCCCTTACTTTATCTCTATAGTGATGGATGAAATTACTAGAGAAATAAAAGGAGAGGTGCCGTGGTACATGTTATTTGCTGACGATATAGTGTTAATAGGAGAAAATAGGGAGCTAGAAGTGTGGAAATCAGCTTTTGAAAAAAAGGGTATATGAATAAGTAAAAGTAAGACAGAGTATATAAAGTACGAGTTTGATATAGAAGAACACGAGGTAAAATGAGGAGATCAGTGATGATAGGCGAGGAAGTGGAAAGTTTTAAGTATTTAGGATCAGTTATGCAAAAGAGTGGTGGTATTGATGAGGATGTAAGACACAGAATTAAGTGCGGGTGGTCGAAGTGGAGAGAAATAAATGAATTCCAATGAGGGTGAAAGGTAAGCTATGATGTATGGTTCAGAGTGTTGGGCGGTTGATAAGTAAGTAGAGCAGAGAATGAGTGTAGCAGAGATTAGAATGCTTAGATGAAAGAGTAGAGTGACTAAAAAAGATAGGATAAGGAACGAGGATATAAGAGGGAGTATAGGTAAAGCGTTAATCGTTGATAAAATTAAAGAAAATAGACTTAGATGGTTTGGTCATGTTATGAGGAGAAAAGAATCGGAAGCTGTAAGAACAGTTATAGAAATGAAGGTTGAAGGAAGAAGAGGTAGAGGAATTTTATAATTTTATTATAAAATTTCTAATTTTGTAGGCCTCTAAATCTCAAGAAAATTGTTTAAAATATTTAGAATTTAGTTGAAACATAGATTGTACACTATATAATATCGCATTTGAAAATTAAAAATTGATTTGGCATTGATTGACTCAATCACAAAAAAATATTTTCAGACTTTGAAGCCGTCGATCCTGTTATAATAAAAAATCTAAACCATCCTAATGAGGCTTCGTTTAAATAAACTATATTTAATGTAAAAATGAATTTTATCTTAATAAAATTTTTATTATTAAAAATGAAGATTTTTAAGTATTATTAATTGTAAAGAAAACTGAAATGGAATGGTTATAGAAGATAAACTTTAATGACATTAAACATTATTATTTTTGACTTGTAATTATAGGTGACTAATAAAATTTAAGTTAATTTTATCACAAATACATAGATGGAGTAAATAAGAAATTAGAAACTTACCGTCAACGCCTGAAAAAAAAATCATAAATTATTAATATTAAATATTGTAAAATAAAAATAAAACTATTTTTTTTTTACAATTTACACATGAACAACTCAGAAATATAAAAGGCATACTCGTATTCACCTGTTATTAAATGTTTATGACAATTAGGACAACCACATATATTTTGTTTAAACCATTCATCAAAGCATTCCTTATGAAACTCAAAATTACAAATTATGCATTTCACATTAGTTAAATCCACAAATAAAGATTTATGACACATTTTACATTCTAAAAACAAAAAAAAAATAAACTTAACAAATTATGTGTTTTTTTTTGCTTTTCATATCAGGGTTGTTAGAAAAATGAATTTTTGAAACATTTTTATGGTTTATTCAATGAGTTAATGTTTTAAACATGAACACTTTACTTTAACAAAACTAATATTCTTCAATGATTATCGCTGAATTTTTATTAAAAATACTTTATTTTAACATTAATCTTTATGTTGAAATACTTTTATAAAAATTCATGTATTAATTAAGATTCAGTGGGGGTTTGAAAAGTATATAAAATTTATTTTATTTTAACATTTTCATAATGTTCTAAAATCCTATTTAGTGGCTCAAAAAAATGACTAATGTAAAAAAATGTATATTGTTAAATGGCTGAGAATGAATTGAGTTAACAAGGAGGCGTCAAAATGGAGGGTGCCTTGCTAGTCACCAGAATCATAATGTTGCCAAATTAACTGAAATTTCTGTAGCATTCACGTTTATACTCAACAATGACCAAAAGTCCAAAATATGCAAAAAAGTGCATTGAAACTTTTTATAAAATGTAAACTTCGATACTTTGCTGGAACTATAAACTTTATATTTTTATTATAGTAATAATGTTAATAATCAAATAAAACTATTTTTACTATAACAGTAATGACATGGATTTGTAGTTAACTTAACAAGTTTTACTAAAAAGCAAAAAACAAGAAAATTCTTGAGTTTATGAGTAGGTAATCATTATGACATGATTTTCATTATTTTTAAAATATATCATTTATGTGTTGTTACTGTGTAATATTATATTTGTTTTTTTTTTAGTAAGGGTAATTTTTTTAAAAATAAAATACACTTATAAAAAACTTAGATTTTATTAATTTTTATGAGTATTGACTATTATTATTTGTTTTACTATGGTTGTGGGACAATTAATACACGGGCTACTGTTCTACGACCTAAAAAAACAATATTGGTTTCGACTAATTCAATTAATACCTATTTTTCCTTGTGTTAAATTACATATCACTTATATGGTGTTATTCTCCGTACTATTGGATACGTATTAACTTTTAATAAAATTTATAATCGTATGACTAGATTTAAATTTATAAATACTTATTTTACAATTAAAATATTATTTTATTATTACCAGACTAAGTCAGAAGAGACCATTTCACTTTTCCATTCGTGTTGTATTTATATGTATATATATATATATATATATATTAATTAGTATAATAGTGCATTTATTAATTGTATTTTTATAAAAAAAACATTTAATTGAATTGATTAAGATTCATGATCGTTTAAATAAAAAGTACCTTAAGTATAAAAAAAAACTATAAATAAATTTTAATAAAATAATCAAGTATTCACCTCTTTCTAAATAATTATTACAATTAGGGCATTCATATATTTGTTTTTTTAACCATTCATCCAAACATTTATTATGAATTATACTTTTACAGCACTTTACATAAGTCATATCCGAATTAGGAAATTTTTTACACAACTGACATTCTAAAAACAAAAATTTTACACATAAAAATCATATTTTTTTATTGTCTCTTAAAAATTATATCAAACTTATTTTATCTAAATTTTTAAAAACCTTGTTTTAAACCTACATAAAATTAAAGATAAAACATTATACTTTAAGATGAAAAAGAAAAACTATCCAAACATTTTCGGATACTCTTTATCTTTTATGCGTGTTTCTCTTCCTTTGCAAGTCTATAAACTTGTTTTTCATTTTCCTTTGTTTTTAGCGGGTCAATCCATGCCAAATCATCCAGAAGTGGTTGCACGACCACCTCATATTTTTCTGAAATTTTCAGGGTTTATTCATTGTACTATATTTAGATTAAAACAATTTTTTTTTTTATGATCTTCCCATTTTTATGGCTATTTCAATGTAAAAAAATTTAAAAATAGCTAGATCGTTAAAAAATACACAGATTATTCAATTTCAACTCGATCGAATTAAAATTTTAGATTTGACCCTATTATAACTTGTAATGTAAGTTTACATTGAAAAAAAATTATGTGAAATTCTAAACATTAATAACTTTCAAAAAATGGCGCTTTTTTTGTGAAAATTGACGTTTTTGAGCTCACTTAAAACCATTAGGTAGTTATTATTTTATTGCGATTTTTACATGTGGTATTGTATAGTGTATAATCTATGTTTCAACTAAATTTCAAATATTTAAAACAATTATCTTGGGATTTAGAGGCCTACAAAGTTAGAAATTTTATAAAAATACGTGTATTCTAAGTGCAATTTCTCTGTTGGGTAACCTAATTTTCAAAAATTTTTTTTTTAGTTTTGTAGTTATATATCTGTTTTATACACCATAAAAATTTCAAGTTTTAGAAAAATGTGTAACATGTAAAATTTAGCATTAGAAAATCAGTAAAAATCAAATAATTTAATGATAGTTTTTTGTTGTTTTCAAACCACATTTTTGTAATTTTTTTTGTATATCATTGCATATGAAATATATTATAATTCAATATAATTATTAGAGACGTTATAAAAATTCAATTCATTATTTTAGTTCGAAAATAAAAAATAAATAAATAAAATTATTATGATAATATTGTAAAATATTTATAATCATGGTTTTTTTGGTAGTTAGATATTGTGTCTTCATAAATGTCAGTTAACGATATCTTAAGACTTCTTATGGTATTGTTATTAATTGATAAAAATCTGTGATTAATTTTAATTTTAATTAATAAATTTTGATATACAATACCACATGTAAAAATCACAATAAAATAATAACTTCTTAATGGTTTTAAGTGAGCTCAAAAACGTCAATTTTCACAAAAACAAGCGCCATTTTTTGAAAGTCATTAAAGTTTAGAATTTCACATAATTTTTTTTCAATGTAAACTTTAAGTTAAAATCTAAATTTTAATTCGATCGAATTGAAATTGAATAATCTGTGTGTTTTTTTAACGATCTAGCTATTTTTGAATTTTTTTACATTGAAATAGCCATAAAAATGGGAAGATCATAAAAAAAAAAATTATTTTAATCTAAATATAGTACAATGAATAAACCCTGAAAATTTCAGAAAAATATGAGGTGGTCGTGCAACCACTTCTGGATGATTTGGCATGGATTGACCCTAGCCTATTATATAACTCATTTTACCTCTTAAAGTTCGCCTTACTTACTGAACACATGGCTTCCTTACATAAATATTTATACTTCATATAATCCTCTTTCCTTTAGCTCTTCTGTTATACTTTGAACTGATTTTTGACTCTCAATGTTTTTTTGAACATCCTCATCCACCACCAGGTTTCTTTGTTTCCGGGAATTTTACTCTTACTCTCATTAACAATATCCTTTGTAGTATTCTTTACACAACTAGCAATTCTATTACACATATTATTTATGTACCTATGATATTCCATACCGTTTTCTTTTTTAACGTCTTTAAAAACTCTTTTATTTTACCCTTTCAATTTCCATCACCTCGATCCTCGATTTTCTTACTGTGTTTTGTCTATTTTTGTATATCCTTTTTCAACTACTCCACAACTCCATTACCATCAGTCTATGTTGTGTTGTTACACTCTTGCCTGATATAACTTTACAATCTTTTACTTGCTTAACGCTCTCTCTCTTCCACATAAAATAATCAATCTGTGATCTATTATTCCCACTCTTATAAATTATATAATGTTCTCCCTTTTTCTAAAATAGGTATAAACCACAGCAAGATCATACGATACTGCGAAATTCAGGATTTTTTCTCAAGCCTCATTCTTCCCGTTAAACCATACACTCCATGTACTCTTTCATATCTTCTCCTCTCATTAACCACATGTCCTATCATATCTCCACTTATTACTGCATCTTCATTACCAGATATTCCTTGCATCACCTCCAAAAAAAAATCTTTGTCTATTTCATCACATTATACTTGTGATGCATAGGCACTTATTATATTCAACACTATTTTTCTTCGAAAATTAATTTTATGATTATAATTCTGTCAGTATTCCTAGCTATTACTACACGATTCCAGCCTAGAGTTAAATGATGATGTCCCTACACCGTTGATACTAAGAGAGTTGGGAAGACCTGTACACATGACTGGTGAAACAGCTACCACATAAGCTATCTGGCTAGTATTAAACTCTTTATTCTTTGTGCATCGCACTGAAATGGAGTCTTACCTTAAGCCTATTTAAATCACTATTATTGAAGCGGGAGAAAGGGGTCACCTGGGAGGATCCTCCCAGGTGATTCCACCTGAGAGGATGCCGGCTAGCAGCACATCGAATAAATGACAAGAGTAGACAATAATTAAATAACAAATAACCATATATATTAAAGGTTTTTTAATGAGTATCTTAAAATTTAAGGTGTAGTGGGGTTCCCTAAATACTATGACCAATGAAGTGGCATAAACAAAATAGTTAAATTCAAATAAAACAAATAACATTAAAAAATAATACAAAGCTCTGAATAAATGAAGTTGTTGATAGTGGTGAAAGGACTGTGTGAGATGTTGTGGTAATGGTGTCATAGGTCTGAGTATCACGAGTCGTAGGGTAGATGTGGGCACGTAATGGCGGAGAGCGACTACGACAGTGAAGTTATTTAGTGATGGTTACAGGCCAATCACTAAAGACGTACAAGGACACGAGAATTTTGAGCACAGGGGTGCAACAAACAATTAATAAAAATGTTGGCGTATAACGGCCGAACAATTGACTTTCTAAACAGAGGCGCTTGCTACAAAAGGATGATGCATAAATATATTGAATCATTGACGTATGACGATGAACTGTACAAGGCTGACAATTGACACGTAGGTTTCTATGGTGGGTGGACGAGGGGATGAGTAAAGCAATGATGATAGAGATCAGCTGTCACGTGATATAAAATAATTAACAGTGTTTGTGATAACTGGCTACTAGGTCTTTGCTATAGGCGCTCTCTTCCAATCAAATAAATTCCTCTCATATGATGTTCCCATTTACAACCGAAATGGAACAATCCGCTAATTGGTTTTTTATGATATTGCTATCACAGTCACGGATTGTTTATTATCAATTATGACTATTAATAGATATACTTTTTGTATTGTCAGTTAGTGTATTTATAAACTCACAACAATGTACCTTACTATCATTGACAATAACAATACTGTGTACCTGCTAATATCGATGTCATAAAAAATCAATTAGCTACCTGTATTTGTAATCCCTTATGTATTATATCTATATATTAACTCAAAAATTTGAAACTTTAAATGTTTATATCTATAAGACAAATTAAGTTTCATTAAAAATTCAAATGCCATTTACTATTGAATTAAAAACTCAAACATTTTATTAAATAAAAAATATATGTTACCATTTAAAAAAACAAAGTTGACAACCTTACCAGGCATAAGGGATGAACTTAAAAAGTATTACATAGTTAATAATTCAAGAATAATGTGTAACAAAATATAGTAATAAAAAAAATTTTTTTAATTATTATTATTCTGTAAGTAATTGAGTGGGTTATGATAAAAAAAATCACTCTGTATTATACAGAACTAATAAGTAATATTTTATTATAACAGAATAATTGTGTTATAATTGTTTTGTTTATTAATTATTAATAAAACAAAACAAATAATTTTAAACACAAAAGTAAAATAAATAATTAATGTAATAAAATTTTAATATTTTTAAATAAATTTTTGGGACACATTAGATAACTGTTAGGTTTTTGTCTTAGAGACGATTGAGGTGATGAATAAACAGAACATTGTTAGCATGATCATGAAAAGCTGAATGCGATGATAATAACTATGAATGGGCAAGACGACGTAAACAACGGGTAATGAAGAAAGATACATAAGAATCGCAGAACGAGAGATTTATGCACATGAAAAATATTTACTGAAGAGCAAAAAGTACGTAATATAGTGGATTAATTAATAATTATAACTAAATTTAATTCAAATAATTATATACTCACCCCGAATTGTTTTTAGATTACATCAAATACTCACGTGTTAATAATTCTGTATTATTACATTTAGGACACGCATTCGATTTAGTTAACCATTTGTCTAAACATTTGTTATGAAACTGACTTTTGCAACATTGTAAATTAGCCACATCATCACGTAATGATTGTTGACATAATTGACACTCTAAGAACAAAAATTTGCACTTAAAAATCTATATAATTTTTTGTCTTTTTTCATATCAGGATTCTTTAAAAACATTTAAAAAAAAAAATAGTGTTTTTAAACTTTTTATTTAGGATAATCCATGTCTTAAACATGAATATTTGGCTTTAAAAGATCAATTTTACCAATAATAATAGTAATATATAGTATAATATATTACTAACCAATATTACTCAACGCTTATTGCTAAATTTTTATTAATACTTCTTTATTTTAACATTATATTTTAACTTTATTTTTATATTAACCAACTTATGGCATACTTCTTTATGAAGATATTTGCTGAAGAGTAAAAAGTTCCGTAATATGGTAGATTAATAAATAATTATAATTTAATTTTAATTAAATAATAAATACTCACTTGGTATTAAATTTATATAACATTTAGGACATGTACTCGATTGAGTTAGCCATTTACCTAAACATTTGTTATGAAACTGACTTCCGCAACAATGTACATTAGTCACATGCTTATGTAAAAATTTTTGACACAACTGACACTCTAATAACAAAAATTTGGCCCTTAAAAAATTTTGTTTTTTTTTGTTTTTGTATTAGAGTTATTCATATTAGAATTCATCAATACCAGGTTTTTATGAAAAAATGAATTTTTAAAACATTTTTTTCTTATTTGAACCATAGATTCTCCAATTTAATGACTAATATTACCAATAATATTATTATTGTATCATAAAACATTAAAAAGTCGGGCACTGCTAGAAAAATTACTTTATGATGTATACATTTCAAAATTTTTTTTTTTAATGAAAGATCTCGACGACGTTATTCTAAAAAAATTATTCGAGAAAATAAGATCATTTTTTTTAACACAACGTGAGCGTTTGAAAATTTTATCCATAACGTTCATTACCGCCAGAATTTTTTGATTTAAATTCTAAAATTTTTTAATCGATTGGAATTGAGCTTTTTTTTTTACAGCCTCGCAAAAGTTCAAAAATATGAGCTTTTTTCATTTTCTCAAAAAATATTTAACTTACAAAAAAAAGTTTCGTACAAAAGTTGTTTAAAAGACAATTTTAGACAAAAAAAATTTCTTATACTTTTCATTTAAACAAATATTTTTTGAGTTACATTACATTTAATATGAGTACTAAAATTTATTTTCCAATTTTTTCATTTTACGGTTACTTTTTATCATGTTATACTTACATTAGACACAATGTTATAAATGTATGTGTGTGTATGTGTAAATTTATTTATTTATAGTATCTTTAAAGTGTAGTGTATAATAAGATACAACCGATAGAGTAGGTAATTGATTTGACGCTATATTGTTTAAACCCAACTAAACGCTAAATTGTACATTCCCAAAAACAATTATATTATGTCAATTGCCACCGGAATTTCTGCTACACTTTTTCTTTTTCTTTGCCTTAATCCCAACTACTTGGGGTCGGCCACCCTCATCCTAAACTTCCACTTGACACGATCTCCCACATCTTCTACGCTCACATCAGCTGTCCTCATATCGCATTCAATAACATCACTCAATCTCTTTTTTGGTCTTCCTCTACCTCTTCTTTCTTCAACATTCATTTCTATAACTGTTCTTACAGCTTCCGATTCTTCTCTTCTCATAACATGACAAATTATCCAAGTCTATTTTCTATCAGCTTATCCACGATTGCCGCTACACTTATACTACCTCTTATATGCTCGTTCCTCATTCTATCTTTTCTAGTCACTCCACTCATCCAACTAAGCATTTTCATCCCTGCTACACTCATTCTCTGCTCTACTTTCTTATCAACCGCCCAACACTCTGAACCACCCTCACTTAATCCTGTGTCTTACATTATCGTCAAACCACTGCTCTTTTTCACTACTGATCCTAAATACTTAAAACTTTCTAAAGTTATAACTGTATCTTCAATAATTTCTATTTTTAAAATGAATAATGAAATAATTAAAGTAAACCCATTGCTACTATTTCAACTAATCGTTATTTAAAAAAAAAAAAACCAGCAGTGTCCCGGCACAGTGTGTAAAATTGGGTGCAGTATAGATGATATGTGACTGTGATTCAAATCTTTATCAAAAAACAACGCCTTGACGCAAATCTGTAGATAGTGTTTAATTTTAAAATTTTAATGGATTATTAATAAAATGGATTTATTTATATTTTAATTATAATAGTTATATTAATATTATAGAATAATTACATCAAAATTAAGCAGGTTATTATATCTGGGACTATGTCAAAAATTCAATTTTAATAAGACTATTCGCTACTTTGATTTGACGTTGAACATCATAGTTTTCACAGATGGATACCAATTTTTACAATAAAATCGTAGAATTATACATCATATATGAGATAAATAAGATTATTAATACTGTAATATTCTGATTATGTATGTACAAACTTATATAATCATAAAACTGCCCAGAAATTTATATATTACTTATCTATTTATAACATATAACATTCCTTGATAAAATATACAAAATATAGACCATGTCGAGCGTATGAAAAAAAAAGCTCGTAGAACGGTAAAAAATGAACGAATTAAATTATATTTTTTTATTATTATCTTTATTATTTTTATATTATCTCAAAAATTTCGTCGGCCGGAGCGGGTGAATATTTTAACCTTTAAATCAAAGAACGCTGAAGTTAGTGAGCGTTTTTTGAAAACAGTCGAAAATATAAAACGCTAGCGGGTGAGCGCTAAAAACCTTCAAATAATTTTCCCGGAGTTTCGTCGAAAAAAAATTTTGAAATTCCTTGCACGTTAAGTAATTTTCCCAGAAAAGCGTTTTTTTCCTTGTTGTATTATATAATAAGATTGGTAATTAAAATAAAATTTTAATATTTTAAAATAATCTATACTTTCAAATGGATCTTGGCGACATAATGGACAATTGTTAGGTTTATTAATCCAATAATTTAAACATTCAGAATGAAATTTGTTATGACAGCACATAGTTTGAGAAACATCTTCTATTAGGTCGTCTAAACATATTGGACAAGCTAAAAAAGGAATAATTTATGAAAATTAAGGTTTTTTTTAACTTATAATATATAAAATAAGCATTTATTTAAAATATGTTTGAAGTTCATAGCATTTCTAAGACACTTACAAAATTTAAGTTGAAAAAATTACTTAACTTCTACAATATTGGTCTAATATATGTAATCGACCGTTATTTTCTTAATCATATCATTATATATTAAAATAGTTGGTTAAATATGGTTGTTACCATTTGAAAATATAAAATAGACACCCTTATAAAGTACAATGGATTAATATCAAAAATTATTTATAATTGATAAATTGAGAGAAACATACAACAGAAAGAAATCAATAAAATAATTATTACTATTATATTTATTTTTCGATAATTTAAGTGGTTCATGGTGGTGAATCATACAGCATACTTAATATCAATTGAATTTTAAGCCATAGTGTATAATAGAATTCCATGCGTGAAAAAATGAAATAGATTGAAAGGTTACAAATATAAAAAAAAAAAAATCAAACTAATTGGCCGCAACGAAAAATTTGTAACTTTCGTGGCGTTTTACAAAATTATAAGAAAAGGGTTGCCAACCTACTGGGCGAGACAGTGTGTTGTCGGACCACAGTAGGATTTAAAAAAAATTAACTTTTGTATATTAAAACAATTAACCAAAAATATAAAATTAATAAATATTAAAGTTGATGTCCGTTGAGTCGTTGATAGTAGATGTACATCAAAACCTTGTGACAGTTGTCACATAACCATATTAATGAGGGATGATCTTATACAAGGCCGTTGCCCGTACCTTATAAACTAGGGGAGTTGATTTTTGAAAGGAAAAAAAATACACAAGTCCATTGAAGATGGAACACGCGAAAAAAAAAAGAAAAATATGATGGTTAAGTTAAATTAGGGGGACTTTATTAAGTAAAAAAAAAAACAAAAAAAAAAAAATTAAGTTACTACGAGGCAAAAAACCGAATGGTCAAAAAACCTCGTCTACAAATTAAAGGGGACAAAGAAAGATAAAAAAAACAGATATTAATAAAAAAAATAGTTACACCTACACTTTTAATATTAGAGAATACGATGAACGTCTTCGGGTACCCGCCGGCTATTAATCGCGGCAGTACCGCTAAGCACGGCGGGTATACGTCCCAAGTAAGCGACTGGTTTTAGGCAGTTAGACTTAGCTTGCAAGACGTTGGGACACCTCGGAATAAAGTGCACTACGTCACCACATTGTACTAATAATATATAGATATCACCCATAAAATATAATATAAAACCTATATAAAAAAAATCACAAAAAAAAAAAATATGGATATAACATGACAGGTGGTCTTGTACACGCCTGCCATGTTGTGGGACCTAAATAAAAAAAACAGGGGCACATAAATAAAAATAAAAAAAATTCGCCACACGTGCTTAAGGCACGGCGCACTAATAAAAAAAATACTATGGCTCAAAACATGGTACACAAAAATTATACATTACCAGCCCCGAAGGTCTAAAGAAAACCGGAGACAGGTTCAGCCGACGCCAACAAACAAAGAATTTACATTATAAACAAAAATAGCGGACACTCGCGACAAAAAAAAAATATATACAAAACAGTTGTAGCGCACACAAAAAAAATCACAACCGCTCCGAACGAAAATTAACGTACCAGTTCCGACGATGGCTAATTTCCGACAACCCGTCCGACGTTTGACCCGGCGGTCCGTTGGCGACAACACGGCTAGCCTTTGGAGTAGGGGTCAAAAAAAAACTAAATACCCAGTGCCGGAAATTATTAAGAACAATTTAAATCATAAGGTGACAATGTATGCGGTGAGCAGTGCAAATACGTTCAAGATAGGAAAGGAGCGGGGTGAATGTACATACAAATGCCGTCCATGAATCGGTCTGAAGTAGTACACAGCTGACTATCTCGCACGCGCATAAACAAATCACAACACCTTATCATGATAATTTTACCGACAAACACCGTCGCAGTCCGCATTAGGCTCAACACAAATATATATATATATATACAAATAGACAAAAAATAAATAGATACTTTTGTCACGTTACAAGATTTTAGGTTTAGGTTAAGGGAAAAGAAGATAAAGCTGTGTATGGTATTTATAGATTTGGAGAAAGCGTATAATAGAGTACCGAGAGATATTTTAATGTGGGCATTAATGAAAAAAGGAGTCCCGAAAAAGTGCTTTAATATAATAGAGGATATATATGATGGCACTTGTAACAGGGTAAATAGCGTAGGATAAGAGTAGGAGTGCACCAAGAAAAGATTGAAGTATTAAGTATAATTTGTGCAAAAGAGCGATGGTATTGTCGAGGATGTAAGACACAGAAATAAGTGCGGGTGGTTGAAGTGGAGATAAGCGTCTGATTTCTTATGCAATAATAAAATTGCAATGAGGCTGAAAGGTAAATTCTAAAAGACTGTAATAAAGCTAGCTATGATGTATAGGGATGCTATTGAATGCGATATGAGGACAGCTGTTGTGAGGGTAGATGATGTGGAAGATCGTGTCAAGTGGAAGTTTAGGATAAGGTTGGCTGACCCTAAGTAGTTGGGATTAAGGTGAGGAAGAAGATTAAGAAGACAAATTATTCATTATTGACTTAATCGAATGAAAATTTTAGACTTGGCCTTATTATAATTTAAAGTTTACGTAAAAAAAAAAAAAATTACGTGAAATTTACACTTCAAATTTTTATTGTGTTGTTAAGCAGATATATAACTAAAAAATTAAAATAAAATTTTTTTTGATATTAGGTCCCCTAATAGAATATAGCACCTAGAATACGTGTATTATTATAAAATTTCTAATTTTGTAGGCCTCTAAATCTCAATTAAATTGTTTGAAATATTTAAAATTTAGTTGAAACATAGAATATACACTATATAATACCACATTTGAAAATCAAAAATTGATTTGGCATTGATTGATTGAATCACAAAAAATTAAAAACGCTTCATCTTCGAATTTATGACATTACAAAATAAAAGTAAATATGGTGAAAAATTTGATTTAAGAAAGTGCATGTAAATTTGGAAAACATTATATACTGACAAAGAAAGAAATTTGTGGATCATTATACGGTTAGTATGAAAAATAAATGTGTAAGTTTTACAAACATATGTAATTATATTCTAACTGTATTTAATTTTAATTTAAAATTATATATTTTTGACTTTGGAGTATCATATAACAATCATTTTTGATAACTACTACAGCAAAAGAGAAACAGCAAATATCAATGTATATGACATTTTGTATAGAAATTTTTTTTGATAATGGTATTATTATTGTTTTTTAAATTAATAATTTATATTTATTTTATGGCAATATGTTCGTAAAATTATATTAGTTGGTTCATTTTAAATGTGCTAGTGTTAATTTATATTAGCTTAATACCAATTGCGTAAGTTTACAATTATGGCTATAATGTGAAAAACATTAAATTTCTAATTTTGTTATTATGTGAAAAAAAAACAGTATCCTGAAAATATAGAATAGATATTTATCATATTTTCATATATACGTCACTGATTAATAGTTAATAGGATTGAACTCCTCTTCTGTCAAGTTGTAATATTTTCAGACTTTGAAGCCGTCGATCCTGTTATAATAAAAAATCTAAACCATCCTAATGAGGCTTCGTGTAAATAAACTATATTTAATGTAAAAATGAATTTGATCTTAATAAAATTTTTATTAATAAAAATGAAAATTTTTTAAGTATTATTAATTTTAAAGAAAACTGAATGGAAAGGATATAGAAGATAAACTTTAATGACATTAAACATTATTATTTTTGATTTGTAATTATAGGTTACTAATAAAATTTAAGTTAATTTTACCACAAATATATAGATGGAGTAAATAAGAAATTAAAAACTTACTGTTAACGTCTGAAAAAAGAACCATAAATTATTAAAATTAAATATTGTAAAATAAAAATAAAACTATTTTTTTTTTTACAATTCACACATTAACAACTCATAAATATAAAAGGAATACAAGCATTCACCTGTTATTAAATGTTTATGACAATTAGGACAACCACATATATTTTGTTTAAACCATTCATCAAAGCATTCCTTATGAAATTCAATATTACAAATTATGCATTTCACATTAGTTAAATCCACAAATAAAGATTTAATAGAATTAATGTAATAGAATTGCAATGAGGCTGTAAGGTAAATTCTAAAAGACTGTAGTAAGGCCAGCTATGATGTATGGTTCAGAGTGTTGTGCTGTTGAAAAGAAAGTAGAGCAGAGAATTAGTGTAGCAAAGATGAGAATACTTAGATGGATGAGTGTAGAGACTAGAGAAGATAAAGAAAAGAAGACTATAAAAATAAGTATATCTACTAGAGCTATAAAATTTACTGTACTAGTATTTTAGGATTATGTAAAAATAGGGAATTTACAGATACATTTCAGGTAAAAGTGAGAAAGACTGAGTAAAATCAATTTTTGCATTTATTAGGTAAAGTGAATTTCATTTGGGAGAGTTTACAATTGCCTGATTAATGTGATTGATCAATAATGATGGAAACAACCAGGGATTCGGAACGGAGCAAATTTTGTTCCGGAACAGAACACTTTCTAATAAGAGTTCCGACTATTTGCTCCGGAACAGAACTATTAATGAAATACGTTCCGGCCATTTGCTCCGGAACGGAAAACAAGCTAAAAATTGTTTCGCAAAAATGCTTTGAAATTTTTCTATTCAAATTAATCTCTCTGATATTTATTAACCACGTTTAAATTATTATTATATTTCCTTTATAATCCCTCAATCAAATAAAAAGTATCTTAACCAGCTTTATCAATTTCAACTATTAAAATAATTAATGTCTAATAATTTTAAAGTATTTATTGTAGAGTTAGATTTGATACAATAAAAGTATTCAACTATAAAAGTAAATATTTTTACTTTGTAATTTATTAATTTTTTAACTCTATTTTTTGTTCCGTTCCGAATCGCTGGAAACAACTAATAATTATATTCGAAGAAATTTATTTTTAAGTTATAGATTAGAAAAGTTTTAAGTACTTTACATTCTAGTTTATTGGAGTTTGTAAATATTGTTAAATCCTTAGGAACATTATGGCTGATTAGTACCATTCCACCTTTTCGTAAGACAGCCAATAATATAATTATATTTACAATGAACATTTTCTGAAAAATTATATCCAGTGAAACGTTAGCATAAAACATAAAAGTACTTGTGTTTTATTTAAAGTAATCAATTTGTTATTGATATTTATAAACATTTACTTTTAAGTGTTTGGCCTATATTTATTACTATAAATATGAATACAACTAGTAACTAAACAATTTATGTGAATTGATTAGTTTGAATATAAATACATTATCATATTTATAATGATTAAAAAATTACATTTTGAAATGTATTTAATTTTAACTGATAGACTGATTCATAGTAGTTATTAATATAATTTTAGCTTCGATGTAAAGCTGATATGGTATTAATTTTGCCATGATATGTATATTTTTTTTTTTTATGTCTCTCACTACTTTTTCTCAACGTCAAAAGATCACAAATCATATCTAGTTGAAGACATTTTCCTTAAAATTTAAAAAATTTTCCCTTATTCACCGTAAAATCTAAAATCCCCCCAAAAATATTATTTTTAAAATAGGTGATTTCTAAATATTTTTTCTATCGTTTCAATTTGTTGATTTATGTTTTTACATTTTAATCGAATAAATTTCAACTAGATATGATAGATCTTTTAACTAAGATCTTTTATGATCTTTGATAATTAATAGTTAGTTTTAAATCATACAAAAATAAACTGATTCGGGGGTACAATTCAATCTTACTTTTCATAAGTTAATTCTATGAGTCATCTCTTTTCTTCGCGTCTCCATGGCACCAATATTATAATAAAAAATGACAGATATAAACCCAATTCATGCCGCCCACGTATTGACTCGTTTGCTTATTAAAAAAGGGCTAATGTTCATAGCTCCCTAGCTCACATACTACGTAGCTTCGAACAACATCAAATCACAAGCCGGGATTCTATCATCATCATTTCAGGGAATATCAGGTAAGAATAGTTTTAACATTAAAATAGTTTTACGAATATTAAGTAATAACAAGCTCTTTATGAACCGTACTCTAAAATATCTATGTCTCTCACTAAGAAATCTTTCTTTTGGTTATTGCAGTACGTATAGTAAGAGTCGAGTCCGTGTGTTTGATGTTTAATTTTTAACAAAGTTTTATATTTTTGATACCAATTGAAAATGGTAAAATTTTGGTAAGAGTTAGTAAAAGCTTTATAATAGTTTATCAAAGCAACATTTATGAACTAATCAAGAGTTCTAAAATATTTGTTATCTATAAAACATTATATTTTTATTTCTAAAATGAAATAATTATATTAAAAACATAATTATTGGCTATTTGTTTACTATAGTTGGCTAAATTATTATTTATTAATTTGGAGTATTATAGTCATAAATAGAAGCCTTTTTTTTTTTTTAATAGCCTATATTTAAAGATATTATTGCTCAACAATTAATATGAGATACAGCAGTAAATATAACAAATATATACATTTACAACAAAAGAGTAACAGAAAAGAAAACAAGAGTGTAATAAAATTATTTACAAGAGATATTGATGTTATATGTTGAAAATAAAATGAATTATAATAAAAAGTACTATAGTCAATCATTATGAGTAAATTAAATGGAGCAGCCAACACAAAAAAGAAAAGATATAATTGAATTTATAATGGACACATTACGGGAATTAAGAATTAGAAAAGGATCGGGATTAGAGATATCATGCGTGGCTAGGAAGTTGTATAACAAGAACCTATTATAATTGAGAGCAGGACAAAATAATAAAAAATGAGGGAAATCACCAATAAATTCCTCCTTGTGGAGGTGGCAGAAAGGGACAGAATAAAGGTTAAA